TGCTGCGGCGAGTGTAAGATGGGCGCCTTGGAGCCCTTCTGCTGCTGCGGCTGTGCTGCAGCAGCAGCAGTTGCTGCTGCTGCTGCTGCAGCGCAGTCCTTCGGGAGACAGGGCCACTACGGGTCCCCCTAGAGCGCATAAACCTTGAATCCCTGCTGCTGCTGCTGCTGCTGCTGCTGCTGCTGCTGCTAGTGGTTGGATGTCTGCGAAAAGCTTTTGCTGCTGCAGCAGTTGCTGCTGCAGTTGCTGCAGCAGCCCACTCCTTCGGTTGCTGCTTGAACTGCTGCAGCAGCAGCTCGTATTCCTTCTGTCTTTGCTGCAGCCTCTTCTGACGCTGCTGCCTCCGTTCTGCTGCTGCCATTCGCTTCTGCTGCTGCTGCAACCGCTGCTGCTGCTGCTGCTGCTGCTGCTGCTGCGGCTGCTCGGGGCAGCCTGCAGGCAGCCACGCAGCCGGATGAAGCGCATACGGAGATCCATACACCGGCAGCTGCTGCTGCAGCTGCTGCTGCTGCTGCTGCTGCAGGTGCTGCTGCTGCAGCTGCTGCTGGTGCTGCTGCTGCAGCTGGTGCTGTTGCTGCATCGAGGCACAACCCCAACCTACTGGGGGGCCTAGCTCACCATGAGGATGCCCACAGCTGGTTTGCTGCAGTTGCTGCTGCTGCTGCTGCAGCAGCTGCTGCTGCTGCTGCCACTGCTGCTGCTGCTGCCACTGCTGCTGCTGCTGCGCCTGGTATTGCCACATTCGGTAGTGCAGCAACCAAGATATTTGCTGCTGTACTTTTGCTTCAATCTGCTGCTGCGCAATCTGCGCTGCATGCGGCTGCTGCTGCTGCTGCTGCTGCTGCTGCTGCTGCTGCGGCTGCTGCTGCTGCTGCGGTCGCGTCGGCCGTCGCTGCTGCTGCTTACTTGTTGCTGCTGCTGCTGCGTTGCTGCGGAAGGCACCGCTTGCTCCTTCCTCTTGCTGCTGCTCCTGCTGCCGCCATTGTGGCTGCTGCTGCTGCTGCTGCTGCTGCGGCTGCTGCTGCTGCTGCTGCTGTGGCTGCGCGACAGCCCGTTGCTTCCCGCCAGCCAACCGAAGAGGAGTTTCACATGAAGGTGGAGCAGCAACAGCAGCAGCAGCAGTTTCTGCTGCTGCAGTTGCTGCTGCTGTTGCTGCTGTTGCTGCTACTGTTTCTGTTGTTGCTGCTGCTGCTGTTTCTGCTGCTGCTGCTGCAGTTGCTGACCCGAGAGAAGAGTGTAGAGAGGCCATGGAACGAAGCGGCATCCAGCTGGCCGTTGCTGCAGCAGCAGCTGCTGCTGCTGCTGCTGCTGCAGCAGCACCTGCTGCTGCAGGTTGCGTTGCTGCATTTGCTGCTGCTGCTGCTGCTGCTGCGGGGCTACTTGCTGCTGGCAGCTGCAGCACCAGGCCGCGTAAGGAGTGCAGCATTGCGTGCGCTGCAGCAGCAGCAACCGCTGCTGCTGCTGTTGCTGTTGCTGTTGCTGCTGCTGCTGCTGCAGTTGAGGCAGCAGCTGCTGTTGCTGCTGCAGGCTAGGGCTCGATGACCCCTAGGCCCCGGGACGGAGGCCCTCTACTGCAGCAGCACTGATCTGTTATAGATGTTTATAGTTTATTTTCAGGTGAAATATTTAATTAAATTAAAAAAATAAAAAATAAATAAATAAATTAATTAATTAATTAAATAAATAAATCAGGGCAGCCGTCGATTGCTGCCGGTGCAGCACGAGGGGCCCCTCTCTGCATGCGCTGCAGCAGCAGCAGCAGCAGCAGCAGCAGCAGCAGCTGAGTTTG